ACACACACACAACGAGTCATGGTACGCGACGAGGTGTCAGAGTGGGGGCGCCTGTGACAAGCGGGGTTCCACAGGGGTCAGTCCTAGGACCTGTGCTGTTCTTGATACGTGAACGACATAACGGAAGGGATAGACTCAGAAGTGTCCTTGTTTGCAGATGATGTGAAGTTAATGAGAAGAATTTGAATCGAACGAGGATCAGGCAGGACTACAAAGAGACCTGGACAGGCTACAAGCCTGGTCCAGCAACTGGCTCCTTGAATTTAACCCTGCCAAATGCAAAGTCATGAAGATTGGGGAAGGGCAAAGAAGACCGCAGACACAATATAGTTTAGATGGCCAAAGACTGCAAACCTCACTAAAGGGAAAAAAGATCGGGGGGTGGTATAACACCGAGCATATCTCCTGAGGCGCACATCAATCAGATAACTGCTGCAGCATACGGGCGCCTGGAAAACCCTTTACGGATAGCATTCCGATACCTCAGTAAGGATTCGTTTAAAAACTCTATACCATCTACATCAGGCCCATACTGGGGGTATGCAGCACCAGTTTTGGAATCCCACCTAGTCAAGCCGTCAAAAATTAGAGAAGGTGCAAAGGTTTGCAACAAGACTAGTCCCAGAGCTAGGGGATTGTCCTAGAAGAAAGGTTGAGGGAAATCGGCCTGACGACACTGGAGGCCAGGGGGGTCAGGGGAAATGATAACGACTTTATAAAATACTGCACAGAATAGACGAGGGGGACAAAGACGGGATGTTTCCAGAGATGGGACACAGACACAAGAGGCCCACAATTGGAAGTTAAAAGACCAGATGAATCAAAGGGATGTTAGGAAGTATTTTCTTCAGTCATAGAGTAGTCAGGCCATGGAATAGCTAAAAAGTGATGTGGTGGAGGCAGGAACCATACATAGTTTTTAAGGCGGGGGTATGATAGAGCTCAGGGGCAGGGAGAGAGAGGACCTATTTAGCAATCACCGAAGAGGCGGGGCCAGGAGCTGTGACTCGACCCCTCCAACCACAAATAGGTGAGTACAAATAGGTGAGTACACACACACGCGCGCCGCGGCGCGAGCACCTGGCAAACCTGAGAATAGCGTTCCGATACCTTAGTGAGGAATCGTTCAAGACACTGTACACCGTGGACGTCAGGCCCATACTGGAGTATGCAGCACCTGTTTAGAACCCACACTTGATGAAGCACGTCAAGAAATTAGAGAAAGTGCAAAGGTTTGTGACAAGGTTAGCTCCAAACTAAGGGGGAAAATCCTACAAGGAAAGGTTAAGGGAAATCGGCCTGGTGATACTGGAGGACAGGAGGGTTAGGGAAGACATGATAACGACATACAAAAAAATACTGTGTGGAATAGACAAGGTGGACAGAGACAGGATGTCCCACAGAGAGGACACAGAAACAAGGGGTCACATTGGAAGTTGAAGACCCAGATGAGTCAAAGGGATGTTAGGAAGTATTTCTTCAGTCATAGAGTAGTCAGGAAGTGTAATAGCCTAGCAAGTGAGGTAGTGGAGGCAGGAACCATACATAGCTTTAAGATGAGGTATGATAAAGCTCATGGAGCAGGGAGAGGACCTAGTAGCACTCATTGAAGAGGTGGGGCCAGGAGCTGCATCTCGACCCCTGCAACCACAATTAGGTGAGTAGAATTAGGTGAATACACACACACACAAGGAAGTGCTAAGTTATACACAAGTGCTAAGTTATACACAGAAGCCATAACAGACCACGTCAGTGTCCACAAAAAGCTAAGAAAGGAAAATGGCAGACCACTGGGCACAGGGACAACAGATAAAGAGATTGAAAAAAGGAAAGCTGCAATAGAGGCAGGGGATACAAAGGGAACTGCAGTTGGAGAATGAAAAGGTGAGGTCAGTCTTTGTTTATGGGCTTCAGGAAGTTCAAGGGAAAACTTACGAAGCAAGAAGTCAGGGGAAGAAAAAAGCTACTGAAAGTATCATGAAAACAATAGGAGAGGATGACATGACCCAGCTGACAAATGTTCTGAGAATAGGGGGGTTTGCAAGAGGAAGAAACCAGCTGATCAAAGCGATTTTCAAGGGAGAATTGGCATGAAATAGGTTCCTGCAGGAGAAAGCATGACTAAGAGACATATCAGCGTACTGGAGGGTGTACCTCGACCATGACAGAGCACGAGAAGAAAGACAAAAACTGAAAGAGAAGGTACAAAGATGCAAGGAGGAAAGAGAGACAAAGATGGAGATTGGCAGGAGAACCCAGACTCAGGAGGAGGAACAAATACAGCCTCCCTCAGAATCACCCAATGCACCCAAACCCCAATGCACCCAAACAATCTAACCCACAACCCACACACTGTACCCCACTGCCCCCACCCCCCTCAACACAAACTCCACCTCCACAGCTACTCTCCATAGTTCCTTGCCGGGTCTCCCTCTTCCCCAACCCCAACATACCCTCCAGACCATAGTTTTAGAAAAGAAGTTGAAGGTTTGGTATATGGTAATCAGAGAAATTTTTCATCGCTTAAACAAACTTTACCATATATGCTGTATGAACTAGTTCTACCCAATGCTCGAAAGACTGCTCAGGCTGCGAATCAGAAAACTGAGGCACGAGCGACACATATTTCCGAACACAGATATTGTCATTAATAATAAGCCGAAACAGTCTTGTCTCCTTTCTATCAAAATCCTCCTTGGCGAATCCACGCTGCTCGCAGGTGTGTTTGAGACTGAGTGTAGCCAACTCAAGTGCTAACGAAGCTGACTAGCTGACTGACCCCCAGACAAACTTGATTCACCACCCATTTCCGCAGGTAGACAGTTGTCCTCTTGTTTCGAAGTGTATCCTTCATCCCCCCATTATGAAGAATTTGAAGCGGGGGTCAGTGATTGATAGGTCACATAGCTATAGGACAATTTTGGAATGACACATTGTACGAGTTAGGCCTTAACTTGTTGCGGATAAGCTGTGCAGCAGTAAGAGTGCGCTGATACTCTGCACCAATAGAACAAGCAATTCGCCAGCAATACTGTAGTGATAGTCTGGGACCAAGGTTTTGGAGGGTATACTCAGTCACCAAATGCCTAACACACGTTGGTTGTATAGCCTACCATTACTATAACAAAAGGCCATTTTTTGCAACACCCGCAACACAACTAGCTTGTAGCCGCAGCATGCAACAACTGCAGGTTTGCAATGCAACAATGTAGGCAGGCTCGTAGAGACAGTGCAGTGGACAGTGACTTTAGGAGAGGCACCCCAATGAATATATGTAACATACAGGAAGTCCTTACTTAACGTCGTTTCGTTCAACGTCGTTTCGCCATATTGAAACGATGTTGAAAATATGGAAAGACTTCAATGTCTAGATGGAGGACATGCGTTGGCGTAACTCTTCATGTTCGCTAATGGCCATACAAATGAAAGCTTGAAGTTTATTTGAAGATGTAAAGAAAAAGCAAAGTCGTGGTTGGTTTGAACATTTTAAGAAACATTTAAAACTGCATAACATACAAATAACGGGCGAGTCTGTAAGTGCAGACAGAGAATCACGCAGTTGCTTACCCAGCTTTACTGTTGGTATTCGGCTGTTTGTATTCGGTTTTTATGATATGTAACGTGTTTCTTATATAATTCTGAAAAACATGTGATACCCAAAACAATAAAAATGTCAATAAAAGAGAAAATAGCACCCCAGAGGGATATATTCCATAGCGATGGCGTCTACAGTACTACTGCCCTCCCTCTCAGCTCTTCCTTGCCGTAGCAACTTTTGTTTATATCAGTTAGATTATGGTAAAATCGGTTTCGTTATACGTCATTTCGCTTAGTCACAGCTTCCAAGAACCTATCCACAACGTTAAGTGAGGACTTCCTGTATGCGTCACATGCCACATTTGGTAAATATCAGGTAAATAAAATAATTGATTTTTTCTTCAATAATGCTATTTCTCATTTCTATGTCTATTCAATTTTATGCCTATCTAAAATTTTACTCTTGCATTTATGATTGTAACTAATAAGCCATGTCTTCTTATGTACCTGCATCAGTTTGTTTATTTTGAGGTCTAACAATGTCTGTTTCTTGCAAACTGATTCTACTGTTCCATTGTGATACTGATGATTGACTTACCATTTCCTCATTTAACTTTATTATTTCTATGTTATGTCATGTTTGCTCGCTGATTTAATATACTACAATTTTTGTTATTAAATATTCTGCTAATTTTCTATGATGTACTAATGCAATCATTGAGAAGGTGAAGTTCTATCCCCCCAACCTTCAGAGAGAATGACGAGGATGTTCAGTAACTGTAATAAAAAATTTGTCGAGAATATATATAGAGTATATATTCTCGAGAATATATATAGAGTATATATTCACGAGAATATATATAGAGTACACAATGGATTGAGAAAACCTGGTTTTTGTCTAATGGCCATTGATAACAAATAAAAGCTAGTTTTTTAATCACTCTTCCTCTTTTTATCTCTTTATTCCTCCTTTATCTATAATCTGTTACTTTTATATAACATTTTTCTCTTGCTCAGTATGTCCAAAGGCACAGTCCTTTAATTTTGCCCTCCTACCTTTTCTTCCTAAATGTTATTTTTGTATAGATGATGCAAGCGTCTACTCTTTAACTTCTTTAACTTCTTTTTCTATTCCATTCTTTCTATTGCCCCTAACTTGATTGCGGCACACTGGTGGCAGCTGGTGGGATTGTTATTTTTCCTTTTTTTTTTCCACTGATTCCCAAGTTAGCTCTGATACACATGTAGGAACAGCTGTGCTGTATTATCCCTCTGTCCACCTCTCCTGCAGCATATGTTGGATAACCCTGTGCCTATTTCTCCTACAACACACGTAGGACCTGTTTTATATTATCCCTCTATCTAATACAGCACATTTAGGACCTACTGTTTTATATTATTCCTCCGTCTACTACAACACACACACAGGATCTGCTATGTTATCTCTCCATCTACTCCTACAGGACATCTAGGACCAGCTGTGTGTTTAGTGTGCCTCAGTTTCGTGGAGTGTGACCGAAGTGCAACCATCGCTCTGTTCGTCATAGCACTCACTCTACAAGGCGGCATCTACACAGGATATGTGGTCAACCACATGGACATTGCACCCAATTTTGCTGGTACACTCTACGGCATCACCAATACCGCCGCCACAGTTCCAGCCATCCTCGCCCCCATGGCTGTAGGGGTACTCACTAACAACCAGGTTGGTGAGACGAGGCTTCGTTATAAGTAATTCCATTATAATGTTTAGTTGGTTGTTGGTTATCCCCAAAGGAAATCTACAAGAGAATGCCTAAAATTTTTTCTTCCTCCAACTTTTCTGTTATATTTCGGTCATAACTCGAGAATGCCTAATCGAATTGCCTCCAATTTTTCAACATTGGTGTAGAGTAACGAGGCAAAAATTCTTGGAACAGTTGGCATGTTCACTTGCTCTCTGGCAGAAGTTATTGAACTCATTCCCAGCATCCTGGAATATCTTGGATAACTTCAGACCCCTCATTGGCATATTCAAATGTTCAAAATTGTTGCCTAAAAAAGTCTACGACAGTGGAGGGTGAAATTGTCTACAACAGTGGAGGGTGAAATTGTTTACGACAGTGGAGGTTGAAATTCAGCTGTGTATGTGTAGATTTATACATTTTATATGTAAAATAGTGTGAAATATTTATTTCCATTAATAATAATTTTTAGTTTGCCTCTACTGAACGGCTTCATTATTTAACAGCTGTTGCATCTTAGGGCCAGGACAGTAACTATTAAGTTTAGTTGGTGCTCAGGCAAATTTGTTTATGTAATAAAATTGTAAATAAAACCTTGAATCGTTGGAATCTGTGTCATAGCTGGGGAATAACTCATTTGATTGGCTTAAATTCCCACCACTGGTGTGGTTCCCTGAAACAAGACTCACACTGCCAGTAGCTGCCATGAGTCCCACCACTGGTGTGGTTCCCTGAGACAAGACTCACGCTGCCAGTAGCTGCCATGAGTCCCACCACTGGTGTGGTTCCCCGAGACAAGACTCAGGCTGCCAGTAGCTGCCATGAATCCCACCACTGGTGTGGTTTCCTGAGACAAGACTCGCACTGCCAGTAGCTGCCATGAGTCTTACTCTGCCAGTTTTACTGAATAAATGGTGATTTTTTATGTAATAACTAAAGAATGCTTCTTTTGATTTCCTTCAAAATAATATTAGCAATTCATTCAGTATAAAGGATGATGATACCCCATAAGTTTAGGCTGAGTAGGTGCAAATTTGAAATTTTTATTGAAATAATTAAAAGACTTGCAGTAATTGGAATGAGATCAATTAATGGAGAATGCCTTTTCTGATCAGCTGAGCTTTTTTACCATTGGGGGTCTTTATTAAAATATAATTTGTCACTGACTTAAGAATGCCTCTTTTGATTGTCTTCAAACTTTAATATTGGCATATTTTTATGTCATAACTAGAGAATGTGTCTTCTCATCATTTCAAACCCAGATACTGGTGTATCTTAATTGGAACTAATTTTGTAAGTGTACATAAGTGCACATACAAGTATGTGCACTTACGTACACTATGTACAGAGGTTTAATAGTAAGTATACCACACGGTGACAATAGATGGCAAAAAAGCAGAAGCCAGAGAGAGTGCACTGTAATCAACCAGCATCTTGGGCAAGTGTGTCAATTCTCTTACCACGTTGCTTCAGCTTTGGTGGGCTTGCCTGTGATTGGCCAATGAACCAAGGTGCCTCATTTAACGATGGGTATCCTATCGATCATTAAACCCTTAGACACCGGTTTGCTGGTTGGGAGGCAGCCTATATGGGAAATGTGACATATGCTGAATAAAATGTAACATATTCTTAGCATGCCACAACTTCAAAAGTCAACAGCAGAATTTAAAGTCAATAACGCTCTAGCAAAGCCAACCAAAATTAAAGTAGGATCAAGAGTAATGCTAACAAATTTCTGTAAGACATCTGCATTGCTAAAGCTTGACCAAAAGTTTGTTAGTCCCTACCGAGTTGTTGAACATATAAATGGTAACAAGTACAAAGAGAAATTATTAATGATCAGTATAAGAACCCTACTTAGATTATATGAAGTTAATGTGTGACAATGTTGATGAGATTTCTGGCACCCAGAGGAGCAAGCCAGACTAACAATTTTTCTGGTCCAATATCTTTTACCTCTAACAACCTGACTGTCATTATTCTTTAAGTATACAAGTAATGAGGACACCTCAAGTTTCAGCCATTACCACTAATGTTAATTCCCCTCAGTCACAGCATGTGTTAGCCATTGCTACTGACTTTGACCCCCCCCCCCTCCACCATAAAGCTGATGACCACTTTGTTTATGTAAACATGACCCTGGCAGAGTTGAGGTTAAATGTAAATACCTTGTATAGACAATTAATGAAAGTCAAGTCACTGCATAATTGTGTCATTTCTTATTGAGTGTCAATTTTACTATGGCTCAACTTTTTCTTTTTTTTTTTTTTTTACACTGAGTTTTCATGTTCTCTCCTAATTCTGAGATTTAACAGTAAAAAAAAACTTGAATGCACCAAGCTTATATTTTCTCCTTTGTATATAATTTTCCTCAGAATCTACTTATCACATGAATAATGATCTATCATAATTACTTATACATTATGTTTTAATATGTCATATGTCTTTTTAATATACAGCACTCTATTGACTATGGAATCAGCCCAGAGCCTAAAGTGTCTGCCACTCAATTTATATACTATTAGTTAGCTATATTCGAGGACTTTTACCATAGTGCTGCCCAGCTGTCAGTAATATATATTCTGTATTTGTTCACCCCTATGTGGCCTCCCTGTGTCTGTTACTCTGGTGTCATGTGAGAGCACTTTAACAGCATCACCCAGGACATCAGCCCAGCAAGCATTCCTCAGATCAGGCAGCCATACATGGCAGACATATGCTAGGCAAGGCTCTGTCTTGCTCGTAGATACACCATAAACAGTCCCCCCACTAGTGCTATTGCTACCTCACTATTCACTCCCAGAAAGAACCCCGGCATGTGTAGGCCACTTTTATATTTTGAAATGGTGTGGTCTTGTTTTTCATTCAATAAATAAGAGTATTCTTTCTTCTGAAAGGCATCGATCTTTAATTGTTTATGTTTACTAACGTAGTTAATAAACATGAAATTTTATTGGATTCTGTTCAGTAAATGGAGGATGCATTTTATGGTTGGCTTCAAACTTTTATTGCTCATATAGTTTTCTCAACGGAAGCTTTGCCTTTATTTTGGCTTGTATAAATTATAATTTATCAATTTTATTAAATTGGTTTCCATGAAAGAATTGAAGAGTCTTTCTTCCAAACAGTTTCAAACATTAAATGCTACTGAATCTTATTTAGAGAAAGGTTTGTATTGATTTTACCATTTTTCATAAAGAAATTGTCACAACTGAAATGCAAATTTTGACGCCATTATTTGTGAACACCTCAAGCGATTAATTCTAAAACTTCAATGCCGATAATTAACCGAGTAAATTCTGAGTGACTTCGAACATAAGGCGCTGGCGTGTTATGGGACATTGATCTCTCTAAGATAACCTGGGGAAGCCTCTTCTCATTTGCATCAAATCTTCAACGCTATTATTTAACCGCACTAGCCTCTTACCGCAATACGTAAATACTAATCTTGGATTGTGCAGTGACAGAAGTATCTGTCTTTACTATGTATTCGTGATATACTTAATCCGGGAAAAAATAATTAATGTACAGTTATTAGGGATTCCATCACATATTGCATTACTCCTTTATGATATTGTTGATAAGCTAGTCAAAAAAGTATCCTGAAGGAAAAGGAAGAATACAGCTTTGGTGTATCTTTGTTTAGTATTGTGAATCAGGAGAGAAGTAAATAATAAAACTGAATGTCATAGGAATGCAGTTAAAAGCCTGATTAGATCTATAACCCACTATGATAATATGAACGTAGATAAATGCGTTTATGGAGCAACTTGCAATGTATTCAGACTGACTGATGTTGTAGTGGCCAGGTTTAGACTTGGTTACAAGTACTTCTGGCAATTTGGCAGACACACACACATGATGCTCAAACCAAATGCAAAGTATATGGTCAGCCCTGTGGTCACTGTCTTGAACACTGTGCTTAATTGTCCACTTATTGAGAAAATAACCTATGTAATTTGTCAAGATATTAGTGAAAATAAGATACCAGACATACTAAACAAATTTCCTAAACATGTTTGCAACAGATTAGTCAACTGCAGATATAAATCCAGATGTACTCCTGTTAACCACTTTTAGGGCCTAGTTTCTAGGTCTTTTGTGTATCCATATGCTCTTACGCTACCCTCCACATGATGAATATGGAGTGCATAATAAACTAGCCACTTCGGTGGCAAAATCTAATTTAAAAAAAAAATCATTGAGACGTAAATGTATAGAGGTTTTACAGCGCCTGCATACTGGGAGGTAATAATGATCTATCCTAGGAAGGTTCGGATACAAAGGTCAGAGTAATTAGTTGTGTCTGAGTTGTTATTCAAAAACAAGTTTTAAACACATTCATTACTTCTGTAACTTGTTCAGCTATCAAAACTTTGGGCTTAGTCCCTGAACCCATTATGTACCACAGTAATCTTTTTGACTACCGCCCACAGGATGGGTATGTGGTGCATAATAAAGATGTTAAACTAACTTTTCTTTTATTTCTACAACAAAAGCTAAAACTTTTCTTTTAACCTACAGCAAACGTTTGGCCAGTGGCGGAAGGTGTTCTATATCTCGTCTGTAATATACATAGTAGATGCTGTCTTCTACATCCTCTTTGCCTCGGGAACGGAGCAAGCGTGGAACAAGGTGACGGAGACTAGCAAAAATGCTGTGAAAGACGCCATCGAAGACTCCGGATCTCACCCTGCTGTAGGCAAGACTCCCCCAGCCACAGCCTTGAACAAGTGCAACAATGAGACTCTCACAACAGAAACTTACGACACATATGTGGTGGATACTAGCTTCCATAACACCTTCCATAACAAAGCCTTCCAGGAGGACTAACTACAATACCAGTACCTCTATACATTAGTTGATTGCGCTTTAAAACCAGTTGACTGTGCTTGGGTCATAAAAGTTATATGTAATCTGTTCATAACTAATCAAGATAGTTTCATAACAAAAATAAGGACTCTAGTAAATATCGCAGTATATGCACGGGAACATAAACCTCTCAGTGTATGTATAAGCTTGTTGCTATTTTCTCTCACGCACATGGTCACTGTACCTATAATAATATATGTTCTTTTTCTTATATGCACATGCCGCCCTCAACAAGGGTCAGGTGCCCGAAAGAAAAACTCCCTCATTCACTCTTCCCCCT